TATAACACAACCTTTATAAAGTGAAATTTTTTCAGTAACCAGAAGATGGCATCAAAATCAATCAAGTTCTTTCTTCTTAGTGGAGATTCCAAAGAAAAGGAGCTGAAACTCAAAAGCCAGAGAAAAATACACACAGCCACCAAACATTCCAATTTCCTTTAAGGTCACTGTCAACATTTTAGAAAACTTCCAGTTCAACAGTTTATAACTCTTAATGTCCTCTTGGTTAGATATGGATAAAAAGCCAAATTCTACATTATAATACTATCAAACCATCTCTTATATGGAATTTAAGCTCAGTTGTCTAATTTGCTGGTGTATAATTGCTCATAGTGGTCTTTCATGTTTCTTTGTAATTGTTGGTATCACATTGGCCACCTAAATGTTTTGTTGCAAAGTTTTCTTTCGCTTTTAGTTTTATTTATTAAAGTTCTCTTTCTTTCTTGGTGAGTCTTGCTATGATTTGACAATTTTTTAATTAAAAAAATCTTATTTTCTATTGTCTTTTAGTCTTTTACTTTTCACTCTCATCCTTGTTTGTCCCTTCCCTCTATTAATTATGTTTCTTCTTTTTCCAGCTACTCATAATGTGAGTCAGGTTGCTTTTTTGAGAACCCTCTTGTTTTTGAACAGCTACCTCTATCAGTCTTGACAAAATAACCTATAGGAGATGAATCTTAATTTTAAGACTGGTCCCACTTCTCAATTGTCTCTCAAATGTCTGTGCTTGTCCAAGTTGCCTTCTTTGTTATTAGTGGTTGAGGTTCTGGGAGACTACACATGAGGGGAGAAACCAATTACAATACAAAAATAAAATTTGAAAAATTAAAAAAAAAAATTGCCCTCTATACCTCCCAATCTCTGGGGAGGAGGCTTGTAATCAGTCTCTTATAAAAGCTAAAATTAGAAATCTGACTTTCAGGCAACGCTTTTGGAGAAGACAAAAAGGTTTCCTTCAGAAAAGACCAAGAGAAGGGCATTTTTGTTTCCTTTCAGCTGGGAAAGGATAATCAGCGATTAAGAACTTTTCTTTGTTTGTCATAGTTTTTTGAGCTTCATGGATGTGAGACTGGAGACTTGTGCAATTTCATAGCTAGGTGTTTGGAAGGCTATCTCTTTGAGCAGGGATCTTGAAAATTGGACCATTAGGTGTGACTCCAAATATCACTCCTCAGAGAGAAGTTAAGATATGTGGGTCCCCTCCTGATTGTATAGCCCTGTGCCAGGGGTGAGGTTTACGTGAGATGTATCTCAAAATATCCTACACTTGCTTCAGTGTGGGTATTTCTCTTTTACCTTATGCATAGGAACCTCTCAACTTGTTTCTGGACTTTTTTTCATAAGTAATTGTACTGAGTGTAACTGTACATTCTTCATGTTCATAAAAGGACGTGAGTTAGGTTAGAAGCCTGGTGCCATCTTGGACCAAAACTCACTGAAGTCCATGGATTTCTTGACTTCTCCCTGCAGACTGAGATTATTCTTGAAGAAAAGTCTTTTTATTTACTGGAATAACTCCAGCACTTTGCATAGTGACTGGTCCACTGAAGGACCTCAAATATTATAGTTTGAATATGGAGGTGTTTTCTGCAAAGGAAAAGGCAATAAAAGTTTCTTCCTAAAGATTGTTCTTTCATTTAATTTTTGGATTATCAAGTTAAGGCCAATGCTGTGTCTTATGCTCAAAAATCAATGATTGAAAGAAGAAAGTCATTTGACTCCAGACTTATATTTTTTCAACAAAATATTCATTTCATTTTTTTTGTTTTAAAGGCTTGGATTGGAGAGGTAATCTATTGCTTCAACTTCTGTACTTTTCAGGTTTTTATTTTTTGAAAATTAGGGGATATGTAAATATATAATATATTTTAGTGTATACTTGCTATGCACATTAGTATATAAATAGGCAAACAAAATTTACTCATAATTCTACTCCATGATATATGCCATTAATTATTTTTGAAGATGAAGTAAAAATCTTAATATTTTCTGCATACATCACCTTTATAAGCAATTGAAACAGTTCAAGAAAGTGTAAATAAGCAGCAAAAATGGTCTTTTAAAATATAAAATAGATTGTGTCACTGTCTTGATGAACACCTAATGCTTTCTCGCACTTAGAAACAATCCAAATATTTAGCAGAGACTATAGAGCCACAAACCTTGATTAATTAAGTTCTTTTCAGATCTGCTCCTTCTACTTCCCTCATTGCCTGCTATATTCCAGCCTCCTTTGACTTCTTTAGCTTCCAGAGCATCATAGGCTCACTCCTGCCTTCAAGATCTTTGTCCTTCTTAACACTGGCTTAAAAGTAAAAACTCTAGGCCCTCCCTGGTGGCGCAGTGGGTTAAAGCACTGCACTAAGAAGCTTAAGCCACTTCCTCATGAGTTCAATCCCCACCTGCCCCGTAGGTGACCACATGGTGTGGCAGACCTCTCCTGACCGGCCCACTGCTCCCCTCAGCAGTGTACTTCATCGATCTGCCTGTTCTGCTCCCCACTCTGTCTCTGGTGAATCTCACCCTCTGCATCTCTGGCCTGTACCCCAGTTCTGTCTGAATAAATAAATAAATCTTAAAAAAAAAAAAAAGTAAAATCTAAGCATCATCTACAGTAATCTGTTACATTTTCAAATTAATACACATTTGATATATGAATTAAAATAACTGAGAAATTTAACAATGTACATTGAGAGAGCATACATCATTCAGAAACAAATAGAAAAATTCACATGGTAATTGCGGTATCTGAAGTCATAGAAGGAAAAGAGCCTATCATTCAACAAACTTCTGAAATAATTTGATTCTTACTCTCTTTCATATGCAAAGATAAATTCCATGTAGATTAGCAATTTAAACATTTTTAAAAGGAATCCATAAAAATACTAGAAAAATATTTTTTATGCCTGCTGGCTGCCTGCATTTCCTCTTTGAAGAAATGTCTTTTTAGTTCTTCTGCCCATTTTTGGATGGGGCTGTTCACTTTTGCTGTGTTTCATCAGTTCATGTATATATATATATATATATATATATATATATATATATATACATATATGTGTGTGTGTATTATATATATGTACATATAATACACACACACATATATGTATTTATATACCTTTGTGATCAGTCCTTTATCATTAGTATTATGTACAAAATTTTCTCCCAATCAGTGGGGTATCTTTTTGTTTTGTGTAATGTCTCCTTTGCTGTACAGAGCCAAATAAGGGATAGGAAAAAATAATAATAGTAAATAAACAAAATTAACAGGCATTTATAAGTCAGAGACATTCTGCAGGGATTATGGGGAGAAGAATATAAGGGACTGTGGTGACTGTACACAGATAATTTGGGGGTGTGAATTTTATTGGAACTCCAAATGTACAAAAGCAAGCAATGGTATAAAATATATATAAATAAATAGATTTTTTAAAAAGAAAAGATACTTGAGAAATATAGATAAATGTTATTTTCAGAAAGATGAAGGCAATTATAATCATGACATAAAACCTTGACAGTCTAAAGGAAAATCAACAGAATCAACTCCTAAAACATAAACACAATTTTCAATGGCTCCATTATATTTCATTAAGTTGATGGGTCATAAATTACTCTCATTCATATACTACTGGATTGCTGTATCATTTCTAATATATTACTATTATAAACAATACTTAATGAACATGTCTATATTATACTAGGATTATACTTGAATCTTTATTACTATAATTTATCTTATCACCTCTTTGTTGGAAAAAAGTGGGTTATTGGCTTTGGTATGAAAATTTATTGTTTCAAAGGCCCTTTAAAAATAGCCTATTTTAAAGAAATAGGTATTTAGAGATTTGTGTTTTTGTTTTTTTTTTTTTAAATCACCTGGTGCTTTCTTTGCTCTTCAGAGTGTGAAGTTTTCATTGTCAATATCTAGGATTTTTGAGTTCCTGAAGTTAAAATAAAATTACCACTCTAAATAAGAATTGAGTCCAGTCTTCTCTAACAGGCCATGAGAACCTTTTATAGGAGTCAACTCGTTCACCATAAACTCAACCTGACATGACTGAGAATTTATTTCCCATTCAATTTCTGATTTCTCTTGGTTGTCTGTACTACCGCTCTATGAATTTACTGTATAGACTTCCTGAATCTATTTTTTGAAATCTATATATCCCTTGGCATAACAAGCTCCATAGCTATGGGTGGGCAGCACAGAGAACACAGCAGAGTTGTTGCTGGAGTGGCCGGGGGTAGGGTGAATGGGTGTGGGAGTTGCTGCTTTGGATTTTACCCATTCAACACTAACTTTTATAAAAACTCAATTGATTATGAAGAACCCAGAGCTCCCCAAGTAGTGACAAAAAAAAATAATAAACCATTGAATAAGGAAGGATTTTCTTTTTTTTTAATTTGAGACTTGTGCTTTTGCTTTGTTCTGCCTTAAGATAAAGAAATAGGAAGATTGCTTTTAGAAAAGGAAATATCTGTTTTGGTTAACTTCAGAATGGAATGGCTGTAGCTTTTTTCTTTATTTTAGCTACTTAGGCTTATTGGCTTCAGCAGCTGGAAAAGTCTAACACATGCTGCTTTCTGGGTATGTCCCTCACCTTGAAAGGTAGAATGATCTACCAGTTGGCACTGTGGCATAAGCAATTTTAACAATTGCACTGTCTAACGTTCTGGGAACTATTCAGAATTCAGCCTCTCATTAGTCATTTCAAAAGGCATTTTAAAATATGGCTTTTGAAAAAATCACTGGCCCAATTTACCCCTTATAATATATATTTAGTAAGCAGAAACTTCATCCATTCTAATAAAATTTGGGTAACAATGGCATGTGGCATAAAATGTCCCAACTGCTTACAAACTATCAATACAAAAAGGCAGAGGGAAAACTGCCTTTATAAATTTCAATCTTCTTATGCATCTAGAAGAATTTAATGTAGAAGTGATTTTTAGGTACCAGTTAAGACAGTAAAGTCAGACAAAGCAGAAGTGACCATACTCACTCATTGGGGGTGCCCTTCTGGCCACAAAAGTGGCCCTTGCTGTCTGTAGGGTAGGCCACTCTCCTGGGGTCGCCGTGTACCCATGCTGCAGGAATAAGAAAGAACAAAAACTCTCAGCAACAGCTGGCCTGAGGCTTTCTGATTTGAGAATTAGAATGCATCCCTGCAACAGACTAACCTCTCCCCTCAGTCATAGGATATTATTGATTTTTTTCAAAGAGTAATTTCTTAATGAAAAGTAAAATGAAATATGGATGAATCAGTCAGAAAGCACATTTCTCTTCTTCTCTCAAGATCATCTGGGCTGTAGCCAAAACATGAGGTAATGCACTTAGAAAATGACATTTATTTAAATGTGAGTTGGAGGGCACACCGCAAAAGCGTGGTAGGTTAGCAGTCATTTCTCTAGGGTTCAAAATGAAATGACTTCATCACAGAATTAATAAATCTATAGCAAATATTATGACGTAATTTTCTTGGGTTATACTAAGTGAAAACCACTTAAAAATTTAAAGGAATAAAACTGTAATGGCTAGTTACATTGCCTAGTTCTTTATGATTTCATGCGACATTCTAAAAGTAAATAGTAGCGATGTCAGGAGAAATACATCTTAAAGAGTTATATTGCATCTGTCTAGTAATCTCAAAGCTTACTGTAAATAGGCTCTCAAACTTTGAAAACCAATGATTTCAACTCTATTTTCTCTAAAGACACTGGTTTTTACCTCATATAAACCCATGACGTTTATTTTCAAAGAATTATAAACTTGATGCTTATACCACAGATTCATAGTAACATGCATTTGCTAAATTGGGTAACAGTCCCTAATTCTAACTGAATGTGCCTTACGTTTCCAATATAGTTCCTAAGACCTAGGAAATGCATTGGTCATCTAATGCTTGCTTCTGCATATGAGAAACAATTCTTTGTCCTCTGCTTCCTTTAGCATTTGCCCAGCTATCTCCTTACCCACATTTATCGGATTTGACAGTTCGAGTTATAATCCAATCACCCTAATGTACATGGCCTGTGTGACTTGGGAAGATAAAAAAAAAAAAATCAATTTTGAATGAGAACTTTAATACGGAAAAGAAATTTTTCTCACTTGCGGAAGCCTTTCTTTTTAGTATCTAAGTGTCCAGAAAAATCTCCCTTGTCTGTCTTTCTCCAATGTCATAGAAGCCAAATTGGTTTCATCTTCTAATACCTGCTTATAAAATCTGACTCATTCCAGCAGCTCTTGGCTGCCATATCTTTCCATATTTATTTCCCAGAATAATGAGAACGGACTATAAATAAGGCATTTAAATGACAGCTAAGCATTCAATGTATAGTGAATCTCCAGACAAAATTTTATTATGTTCTGCTTTTATATTTTAGTTTGTCACATTTTGACTATCCCTGAAAAGAAGATCTCATTTTAACTGACTCTATTTTTTGTAATGTTTCCTTTAACCCTATCCTGAAATGGCTTATTCCTTTTCCATACATGAATACAGAAATGGACACCTAAAGAAGAACTTGGGCTAGCAGGTTTGCTACTTAGTATATGTAGGACCCTGAACAGGTCCCTTGATTATTTGAATTTGTTTTCTAATTTGTTACTATAAGAAAGGCACAATAATAACTAGCCTTAGAAGAATATTGAGAATATGGAAGAAGTTAGCAAAAGTGGTACAAAGCTAGTAAGGCCTTTGCCACTGAGCAGAATATACTTGTGGCAATGGTGAATTCATCCTGCTGGAACCTTCTAAGAATCCAGGCAGAACATGCCTGTAAGTGGCCACAGCTGCAAACAAACTAAGAACGGAGGAACAGGTGGGGCACCAGAAGCATCTGCTTTAGTTTTCTTCCTCTTTTTCATCATCAGACAGTTAAGTAGAGAACTTACTAAATGACTATTCTGTGCCTGTTCTAGGAATCAATACCAGTGCAGGGAGAAGTTTGTAAAAGGCTTAGGAAAGAGGTCAGAGCTGTGAATGCCTGGAAAATGAATAGGATTTGGGCAAGTGGTCAGTAGTGGAGAAGGAATTAGAGATCGAAGGGGGAGTATAATAATAAATAAATTCTTTAATATATTCATTGTTTACAATGTGTCAAGCACAATACAAAGTGTATTACACCCATTGTCTCATTAGAATCTCACAATAATCCTATGAGGTAAATATTAGTGAGACCTATATTTTACACATAACTGTAACTCAGCATTTAAGTCTCAAGATCACTTTTAATGGACAAATAGGGCTTGAACTTAGTTGTTGGGCTCACATGTTTTAGCCACGAGACTATAGTAGCTATAATGTTGTCACTCAAGGTTAGATCAGAAATGAGTTTGTTAACAGTGGGAAACAACAAGGAGACGAACTACAAACAAGGAGAAGCAGCAGTGTGTTGGACACATGGCAGGAAAGATGACACAGTAAGTTTGGAAACTTTGTCATTTGAGAAAAAGAGCTCCATGCTTGGTGGAAAAGGGAACATGGTGGCAGGGAGCTAATGCCAGGAGAGAAAGGAGATGAAGATGAAAGAACAGATCTTGATTTTCTGGTTGTGAATTGTGACAGGTGTCTGTGTTTATTAAGCTGCTTCTACATCTCTCCAGGCAGACGCTGGCACAGAAGTTATGGTACAAATGGCTCATACTTGAGCTGAAACATCAAGTCTTTGAACTGAAAGTTGCAGGGGCCAGCTCAACCACCTTATCTCAGTCATGGTGTCTACTTTTCTTCATTAAGTCCACATCTCTCTCCACAACCAATAAAGAAATAAGGTGAGGGAAAAAGAGGCAATAATCATCTTGTCAATTAATGAAGAACTCCTCACATTTTATTCCCTTTCTTGAAAGTTCTCTATTTGAGAAACTTCCAGAACTGTATTGTGTAATATGGTAGCCACTAGCTACCTTTGTCTATCAAGTACTTAAATGTGTTTTATATGAATCGAGATATGCTATATGTGCAAAAAAGCACATCAGCTTATAAAGACTGTATGAACGAAAAAATGTATGTTTCACTAATAATTTTATATCGATTATTTTTGACATCATATTTAGTAATAGTTACATAAATAAAACATGTTATTAAAATAATAGCATGTTTTTACTACCTTAAATGTGATTACGAGAATTTTTAACATTATATGTGACTCACATTGTTTCTCTGGACAGATCTGAATAGATTATTCTTTCAAATATATTAAGGGCTTCTCATATCAAGTCTACCTCTCTATACATCAAATGATTACTAATGTCAGAACATCATAGATTGGTATGTTAGTCTCTTTCAATCCCTCACACCCAACACCTTTTATAGCAAATATTTTATAATGCTGCTTTCACAGTTTTAGATGGTATTCACTGGTAATTCACATATAATCCCTTTTTAAATGAACAAAGTGCTCTGAATATAATAAAAGGGAGAAATAAGAAGAAAATAGTTTACACTTAAATAGTATGCTTATACTAATATGCAGATGCTGACATAAAACCAAGGTAACAGATACAGTGAAGAGTCAGAAGCTTGCACCTATAGAGAATCACTGAATATATAGCTATAATTGCAGCAGGATATAGGTGTATTATGTAGGAGACTCAAATACTGTAAGCAGTATTTATCAATGTTGTTTTACTAAATGAACAAATTTTAGTAAACTCTAACCAAAAAAAGTACACACTTTTCTTTTCAGAATCTTAGAGACATCATGCGAAAATAGCATTGGTAATTTTAAAACAGAAGATATATATTCAGATACTTAAAAACAAGTTGTTACCTATTTGGGTGATTGTAGAAAGTCAGGTAAGAAGTATTTGGTTGTGCTGTTTCAGATATTATAAGATATCTATCTTCCCTGACCCTCACCCATTAAATGCCACTAGTCTCCCCAAACATTATGACAATCAAAAAGTAAACTCAGACATTCTGAAATATTATAACCCCATCCACCCCACCACCACAAAGTGGTCCTTTCTCAGCTGAGTCACTCTTATAAATCTTAAAAAATATAGAGATTGGATATTTTGTTTTTCCTTCCAGATTTTTTTTGGGGGGAATATAGTATCATATAATTTAATTCTACTGACTTTTATTCAATTAATCGCCATTTGCAGTGACTTTCAAATAAGTCTATAAATTACATAATAATTTGCCTTCAAAAGATGGTTCTTAATTCCCCATCCTTTCGATGTAAACTACACTTAAAAGTCTTGTTTCTAATAAGCTAATATAGTAGCTATGACATTGGATGACTTTGAAGAGTAGGTCATAAATGGCACTGCAGCTTCCTCTTTACTCTCTATTCTCTCTATGATAAATAGCTCTAGGGGAAGACAATTGACAGGCCATGAAAACACTCAGTCCTATAAAAAAAGTCCAAATGATTGTCAGCAGTCAGTGAAAATGAAACGTCCTGCCAACAGCTATGTGAGAGAGCTGTCTGGGAAGCTGTCCTTCCACCTTGGTAAAATCTTCAGTTGACTGCAGTCTTGGATTACATCTTGACTGCCACCTCATAAAGAACTCAGAGCCAGAGCTACTCATCTAAGTTGTTCTCAATTTCTGACCATAGAAATTGTGACATGCTTGCTATTTTATTTCTATACTTAAAATTTGGGGACAATTTGCTACAAATAACTAATAACTACATAGCTTGGAAATATACCTTTTATATACTCGAAGGAAGCAGCTAAATCACATTTCTCTTCTTCTATGAAGCCTCTTATTTGTTTTGTTTTGTTAAGCTTTAAATGCATAGCTATAATTTAATGTTTTTGGTTCTTCACAATATGACATAATACATAGAGTCGCAACTTGATTTAAAAAATTCCTTTGGGCCTAATCAATTTTAAAGAACTATAAGAGCTCTTCTTTCAATAAAAGCAAAGGGTGTGCCAATTATACAAACCACAATAAAACAAGTAATAACTAAGCAAGTGAAACTGAATATGTGGTGACAGCAACTTTTTCAAGGGTCCCATGAGTCATAGCTATGTGTTAAAGCATTGCATTAGGAAGCCATCGACTCTCACAGCAAGCTGTCATCTTACGTAACTTTTTTGTACTTTTATGACCTTCTCAAGCACTG